TAATTAGTTAACATCATAAATGTTATTATCTTATCATATAAATTTAGTCAAACTTTAAGATAATTTGATTTTTCAAGATTTTTGGAATCTAAAGATATGATTTGGTGTGGCCACGGCGCGGCCTCAGGGCGGCCACGTCGCCGGCTTTTCGCGGCCGTTCGATCGGCCGCGCGGACGGCCCAGATCGGGCGAGCCGCGGTCGTTTTACAAAAAACCCCTTTAAATTTTCGGAAATCAACCCGCACTCCAGACGTCCTCTCAGAATTTTTTACAAAAAACGCCTCGTATTATTTCCAAATCAACGCTTAGTCCAGACCGGATGGGCACTGGTTTGTTTGCACAAAAGACCTCCACTTTAGCGAAAATCAACTCGCGCTCCCCAGACACTCTCGCCATTTTTTTGCGAAAACATCCGCAGATTTTTCTCAAATCAAAATACAGCCCAACTTTGATTATATTTTTTTTTCCTCAAAAAAAATACGTGTGGCCAGTGGACCACGCGCATGGGCGCGCCCGAAAAACTAGTTACTTTAATTTGGGACGGAGAAAGTACTGTTACATGATTGGAAGCGACAAGGAAGCACCACTTGACCCAAAGATAAGAATAGTGAAGACGCAGCTGGGCTGTCGGGGATCACCAACCATCATTGCATTGCATTTGCATCTCCTCCCAAGTCCCGGTCAAGGTCGTCTCCCTACCTACCGTCATCCTCTCCGGCGGGCGGCGGGCGCAAGCTCCGTTGCTGCAAGCCTGCAAGCAGCAGGTGCGTACATCTTTCTGCTCCAAAACATCATGTTCTCTGTTGTCCACCTGCGGCCGCGGCCTGTAGGGCGAATCAGTAGTAGTTAGCAGTTCGCATGAGCCGTTTCAGATCTTGTTTTCACCTCAAGAACCGTTCGAGATTCAATGCTGCTCTGCGTTGCCTTGGATCGGCGTCTCACCAGTCACCACTGAAAGCTAGCTCACAGCCCCTGTGTAGATCGATAGATGCCACCAGTGTTTTTTTTTATTGATTGGCTCAAGTCAATACTGTCTCAGCGTTTGTTAGTGATTTTTTTGGGTGATTTGCTCACTGATCTTGCATATTTGTGTTGCAATTTAGGCTACTAGCACAGTTAAACAAAATTTGTGATCCCATCGCATGGTCTCTCTTCATTACAAGGCGTAGAATCTATAGAACTATTTTGATGTATAATATGCCTATGAAATTCTCTTAGGGATTCCTAGCGCCGGACGTCCGGACGAACGACCGCGTCAGCACCCGTTTCCCACACCTATATCCATTTTCCGCACCCACGCAGGGGCCCACGCCACCCGGACCGCACGCGTCGCCCGCCCGACCGACAGCATGTGGAGACCCCTCACGCCTCCTCCGCTTCTCACGCGCATGCAGGTGGGGACCGTCTGCGCCCGCTCAGTGGTGCCCCAGCATCTACGACATGCGGCTGCGACAGGTGGTCCCATTGCAGCATGTTCAACACCAAATCTACTTTTACAATATCCAGATAAAACACTTGCATTATACGTTTGAAATAGTTGAAACACTTGCAACATACGTATGAAACAATTGCAAAAACACCTAAAAACACTTGAAATCCATTTCAAATGCATGCAACATCTAGATCTACTTTTGCAACATGCATATAAAACACTTGCAACATACGTATGAAACACATGAAACACTCGAAACATACGCTTGCAACATGCATGCTATGCAACATACAGATGAAACACTTGAAACTATGTCTGAAACACCTGAAACACTTGCAACATGCGTATACAACTATTGCAACATACACAACATAACACTTAAAAACATACTTTTGAAACACCTGAAACACTTGAAACACGACATCGCTGGCGGCCACGACCTACCTGGATAACTGCGGTTGCCAGCAAGCGGCGCTTGGACGTCGTGGAGAAGGAGGATGGCGGCTGGGCGCGGTGAAGAACGCCGCGCGCGGAGCAGTGCCCGTGGACCACGCCGCATCGGTGTGGAGAACTCAGCGGCTAGTGGTGAGTGGCGGTAGGAAGATAGGAACGCAATGGGCGGCGCTTGGGCACAGTGTAGCACGCTGCCACGTTGCGCCCGCGGCGGTGCGAGCGCGGTTGCTGTGGAGCATGCCGCGGTTTCTAAGTGTGGGTTCGAGAATAGATGCAGACGCAGCGATGATTCTAGGGGAAAGTGAGAGCGGAGATTTTTTTTCGAGCAGATGGGTGCGTCCGTGCGGATGGCATTGTTGGGCCGTTCGGGCAAGCATCGAGGCCCACTAACGCAAAGCGTGCGGACGAAATGGACGCCCTACCCACAACATTTCCGTTTCCCTTACCACATGTCCACGTATATCATCAATTGTTCCAAAGTTAATATCATATTAAAAAGAATTGCAAAATAAAAATCTATTGATGTGACTTTTTTATATCCTGAAACAGCCTATATAACGAAAGGAAAATAGTGGAACAAAAACATTTTTGTTTAACAGGACACATTTGTCCTCCATGATTCGACAAAAATTGAATGCATATATACAGGAACCTAATCTAAAAATATATATATTCAAGAAATCTTATTCTCTAGTGAAAACATAGTAATTTTGCCTCAATTTTTTTCTATAATATAACGGGTCCAGGAAAAAGCTTTCCCCAGCTAATATATTGCTCTGGAACAGCAAAGAACTTGTTCAACAACGAATAGGAATTTTACAAGGTTTTACAAAGCACAAGATTTTTGCCTCATTTATTTATTCTCCCAGCTTTCCTCTGGGCTGGGCTGGGCTCACCCTCCCTCCACGCGGCCCACATTCCCTTGACTCCAACCATTCCTATGCCGGGCCCATCTCTTGCGCCGCCGGCGCTACTGCAACCCGTCGTCGTTGAGTGGCCGCCGACTCACGCCGCCGGCGAGCGGATAGAGCTGCGCTGCGCAGCCTGCAGCCCTGTACTCGTGCGGCGCTTACGTGATGCACAGCGACGGCGCTAATTTGATTTCATCTGATTTTTTACTTTTTTATTTTTTATTAGAAACACAATCTCTTATACGTCATCTCTTCATCTTCAACATTCATGTATGTCTCGAGTCCACTTTCATCCCCTCTTATCTTCTTTACTACTGCAGGTTTTTTTTTTGCTGAGCGAGCACGTGAGCTGCGGCCCCATTTGTGTAGCCCGGCTGCAAGTATCCAGCAGGTGAGCACCAGATCTATCACACAAATCGCACGTCAACTTACAGATTAAATCTTCGGATCATTGCTTGATGCTTTGTTGTAGTGTTCTTGGTAACTGGATGGATTTTCTTGGACAATTGCAACCATGTTCCAGTTATTCCTACATGCCCATCTATGGATGACAGTTCATTTGTTAATGACATGCTGATTTTATTGTTCACTTCAATTCTCCCTCAATGGGACTAGTCATGTGTGTTTAGCAACATCTTGCATCAAATAAAAGTGAGAAGATTTGGATGTTTAGTATTTCCCTATGTGATAGTCGAACAGTCGAAGTCGACCGACACATGTTCAAGTAATTAGGCTAGCCTAGGTGTTCACCTAGTAAAGTTGAGAGTGCAGTTTTAGAAAAAAAGTGCTATTTGATTCAAAAGAGAAACAGACTACCATTCAATGGGGGCGCTTCAATGGCATGGTGATTTACATAATGTGGAACATATGGAAGGAAAGGAATCGAAGGATTTTTTAAAACAAATTCCGAACAGCGCAGCAAGTGGTCTTGAGAGCTAAGGAAGACAGTGATCAAAGAAAGAGGGCTCTAGCACCAAACAGGGTACCTTTTGGGGGTGTTTTTTCTCCTTTCATGCTGCTTGGAGGGCGGGGGGAGGGACCTGCATGTTCGTTCTAGGATCTCTTTGCCATGCCTCTGGAAGGCGCTTGACCTACTGTATATAAACACTATTTCCTATCTTAGTTAAAAGGTAGAGCTCCTGCCATATCATTAAAAAAAAAGAAACAGACTACCATCTATTGTGTAGTAGATGCAGCCCCAGCCCTTGTGTTGTGGTGTGAAGCAAGTTGTGTTTTGCAGTCAATGCTTTCAATATTTTTCACATTTAACTTCATTAAATATAATTTTATTCAACTGCTCCATTGTTATAAAAACTATTGCTAAATTCCGGCATTGGATACCTGGTCCCAGAAAAAAAGAAAGAACGGACTTAACTATGCAGGGGATATCAAATCATTGTCAGTTGTCACTGATCCATGCATTTCCCAATATCATAGCATATCCTACCTGTTTAGTTTACAGTTTCAATTTCTTGACAGTTAGCAGTTTGGCAATTCCACCAAACTGGTCTGCACATACATTTCCTATATTTAAAGAGGTGTTAACATTCCTTTGAATTCTTCTGTAAATAAACTTTATAACTGTGCACTAGGCTTTCTTGGCCAACTTGTCACTGCATTTGCCATCAGGTTTGAGCACCTGGATGTGCTGCATGGTGCAACCATGATACTTTTGTCTATATTTTTAGTGCTTGCCTGACCACTGTTTCATTTTCCTCACAGATAATTTGATCTGAACTTTTTTTTGTGATACAGTATATTGATGACATTAAGGCATGTGCTAAACTCGTTGTATCATTCTTAATTTTTCTGTCATGATTTTGAGTAAAATGGTTCTACTTTAGAGGCCACATTGGAGAACTCCATGAGCCACTAACTATCGCCTATTAGATCTCAGGCAATGAAGTTTTTGCATCTATTTTCTTTTGTACTAACGCCGTGTCCTCTGTTGATTGGTATGATTGTCTTCACATCACCAAGCCTAGCATTTTTGTATGTAAATACAAAGAACAAGTTACACATCCATGCAGTAAGTATTAGAATTAAATATCAAAGAAGCCACAATTATCCAGGAAAACTGGTAGTTATGGCTCCATAGAAGAATTTGCTGTCTGGACGTACAAATCAAACTCAAACCTGTACATTTCGATGACATTCATCATTATGTTCTGTAACAGGATTTTTTTTTATTTTCTTCAGCAGAAATGGCAGAAGCCGTACTCCTTGCTCTGACAAAGATTGGTAGCGTTTTAGCAGATGAAACTGCCAAGAAAATGCTGTCCAAATTATCGGAAAAGGTTAATAATCTGAAGGATCTGAATGACAAGATCGAGTTAATAAGAATGCAACTGACAGCCATGAACAATGTCATACGTAAGATTGGCACAGTATACCTCACTGATGAAGTCATCAAGGGTTGGATTGGGGAAGTGCGAAAGGTAGCCTATCATGTTGAGGATGTAATGGACAAGTACTCATATCACACACTTCAAATGGAGGAAGAATGGTTCCTGAAGAAGTACTTCATTAAAGCGTCACATTATGTCTTGGTTTTTAGTCAAATAGCAGAAGAGGTTATCAAGATTGAGAAGGAGATCAAGAAAGTTATAGAACTCAAAGATCTGTGGTTTCAGCCTTCACAGCTTGTTGCTGATCAGCTAATTGAGATGGAAAGACACCGTTCGCGCGATAACTTCCCACTACTCATTAAAGATGAAGATCTTGTGGGGATTGAAGATAACAGGAGAAAGCTCACCGAATGGCTGTATTCTGATGAGCTTGACAGCACAGTGACAACGGTATCAGGCATGGGTGGACTTGGAAAAACTACTCTTGTAACAAATGTTTACGAACGTGAAAAAATCAACTTTCCTGCTACAGCATGGATGGTCGTGTCCCAGACCTACACGATAGAAGCTCTGCTTAGGAAGTTACTCATGAAGGTTGGTCGTGAAGAGCAGGTGCCACCAAACATTGACAAATTGGATGTCCATGATTTGAAACAAAAAATAAAGCAAAAGCTCGAAAATAAGAAATGTTTGATTGTATTGGATGATGTCTGGGACCAGGAAGTGTACCTTCAAATGTCTGATGCATTCCAAAATCTTCAATCAAGTCGCATCATCATCACAACACGGAAGAATCATGTGGCTGCTCTTGCTCAGCCGACTCGTCGCCTTGATGTCCAGCCTCTGAGAAACACTCAGGCATTTGATCTCTTCTGCAGAAGGACTTTCTATAACAAGGAAGGCCATGCGTGCCCTAGTGACCTTGTCGAGGTTGCTACTTCTATAGTAGATAGGTGCCAGGGATTGCCACTAGCAATTGTATCAATTGCTAGCTTATTGTCTTCGAGGGCACAAACATATTACATCTGGAATCAAATTTACAATCAGCTTCGAAGTGAGCTATCAAAAAATGATCATGTCCGGGCAGTTTTGAACCTGAGCTACCATGATCTATCAGGCGACCTAAGAAATTGCTTCTTGTACTGCAGCCTCTTCCCTGAAGATTACCCTATCCCACGTGAGAGCCTCGTCAGGCTTTGGGTTGCAGAAGGCTTTGCATTGAGCAAAGAAAACAACACAGCAGAGGAGGTGGCTGAGGGAAACCTCATGGAGCTGATCCACCGCAATATGCTGGTAGTACTGGAAAATGATGAGCAGGGAAGGGTGAGTACATGTACAATGCATGATATTGTGCGAGATCTTGCCCTTGCTGTTGCGAAAGAGGAGAGGTTTGGCACTGCAAACAACTATGGAGCAATGATATTGATGGGCAAGGATAAGGATGTTAGACGCCTATCGTCATATGGATGGAAAGACAGTGCATCTCTAGAAGTCAAACTTCCACGCCTTCGAACTCTAGTATCACTTGGAACAATTTCATCCTCCCCAAACATGTTATTGTCAATTTTATCTGAATCCAGCTACCTTACTGTTCTCGAGCTACAAGATTCTGAGATTACCGAAGTGCCAGTATCTATAGGGAATCTCTTTAACCTACGTTACATCGGCTTGCGTCGTACAAAGGTCAGATCACTACCTGATTCTGTTGAGAAGCTTCTGAACCTCCAGACTCTGGATATCAAGCAAACAAAAATAGAGAAACTTCCACGAGGAATCTCTAAGGTTAAGAAGCTACGACACCTTCTAGCTGACAGATATGCTGATGAGAAGCAGTCACAGTTTCGGTACTTCATCGGGATGCCAGCCCCTAAAGATCTGTCGAACTTGGTAGAACTTCAGACTCTTGAGACTGTGGAAGCCAGCAAGGATTTGGCTGAACAGCTGAAGAAACTGATGCAGCTAAGGACTCTGTGGATTGACAACATTAGTGCTGCTGATTGTGCAAATATTTTTGCCAGCCTATCAAATATGCCACTCCTTTCCAACTTGCTTCTTTCTGCAAAGGATGAAAATGAGCCACTTTGCTTTGAGGCACTCAAGCCAAGGTCCACAGGACTCCACAAGTTGATTATCAGAGGGCAATGGGCGAAGGGAACATTGCAGTGCCCACTATTTCGAGGCCATGGGAGACACCTCAAGTATTTAGCTCTAAGCTGGTGCCACCTTTCAGAAGATCCACTGGAGATGCTCGCTCCACAATTGCCAAACCTCACAAATCTGAGACTCAACAACATGCGTAGTGCAAATACATTGGTTCTTCCTCCAGGATCATTTCCCCACCTAAAGTTGCTTGTCTTGATGCACATGCCAAATGTCAAGAAGCTGGTGATTGGAAAAGGCGCGCTCCCATGCATTGAAGGTCTGTACATTGTGTCCTTGGCGGAGCTGGATAAGGTCCCTCAAGGCATTGAATCGCTTCGCACCCTGAAGAAGCTCTCTCTTGTGAACCTGCATAGGGGCTTCCTGACTGAGTGGAACAAGAGCGGAATGCATGATAAGATGCAGCATGTCCTAGAGATTTGTGTTTAGACGTGGCAGATATGTCCCTTCTGCACTACTTTTCTTCTATACTTGTAGCACTTGCAAGTTGCAACCCTCTCCAATAAGTACTCTGTCATTCACATCCTCGGCAGCTCCACATTTCAATTTCATTGTCTTGGGGAATCTAACCGTGCTTCCTGTTCATTGTCTTGGGGAAGCTGGGTTCAGTTTGTGGTGCCTTTTCTGTTTCCCTCTCTTGATTTTATTGTAAGGACATGTTGCATTTTAATTAAACTTTTCTGTTCTGTCAATAATAACGCATTCAGTGTTTCCATCTCCAAGCATCCTTTGCGTGAATAGATTATGTTTTTGTGTGTTGAAAGAGGTGTTTATATCCTCAATTCAGACAAATAGAGTTATACTAGCATCATTTCCGGTAGTTCGATTTTAGGGGTAGAACTAATTAGAAGCAGGAATCCAAATTACTCGCAATGCGGTAGCACGTTTTTACCTTGCTTCCTAACCTGTAACAGTGCCATGATCAGAAATTGATGTTTTGCAGATGCCATTGAAGTGCTGTAGTAATATATTTTTGTTTCCCGTCTAAACTCATACAGTGAATTATTATTGCCGGACAAAAGTATCAATCATGGCAGCAGTTAAACAGGTGAAAATTTTTAAAAATTCATCAACATGTTTTCGGAGAATAGCAGGGCTGTGAAAAATATTCGTGGTCATAAAAATGACTTTGAAATTCCTTCAGCTAAAATATTCCAAAATACTTAAACTAGCATAGATACTCAATACTCACATTATTGTCCCCTATATCCTGTGGAAATAACGAGTTTGTATCCTGTTAGCGCAGCTGCTTTGGGAATTGGGATTATAGGATTAGAGCATCTCCGATAGTTCCCAAAATCCAATTCCATTTTTTTGGTAGGATTGAAAAAACTCTTCGACAACTCCTTATCCCAACTCCAAATCATTCTACACTGAGAAAAATCGATCAATACACATGGAAACATACGCCATGTGGGGCGACTTTCAATCTGCGCTGGCACAACTTCTTCTGATGTTTTTGTTGTACGGTGGCTCAAATCCTACTTGGACTAGAACTCAAGATAGGTGTGCTGGACTTTCAATCTACGCTGGCACAACTTCTCCTGATGTTTCTGTTGTAAGGTGACTCAAATCTTACTTGGACTAGAACTAAAATAGGTGTGCTATTAGGACTTCTGGTTCTACTAGGAGTAAACCCATACTTGCATAAATGAGGGCTGAATTTTTAATTTTTAATCTTTTTTGAAAAATATTCACATTTATACTCTTAGGCACATTAATTTTTTTTGGACCTAGGGGCGGCGCTGTGATCCACTGTGCCGAGCTAACATGTCTCGGCGAAAAAATCGGTCCATTAATTAGGCTTTCTGGAGATAGGCGCCGTGCCCACCTCCATTAATCCATTAATGGAGGCGGGCACCTTACCACATCCGCCTCTGTTAATACTATTTACGGAGATAGGCGCCTTAAAACGTTCGCCTCTGTTAATGGTCTCCAGAAAACCAAAAAACCAAAAAATTTGTAACTTTTGGGAATAGGACCCACGACCTTATGTTCAGCACTGCCTCGTCTCTGGTACTGCACTGCACACTCATTTGCGTCTATGTATAATATGCTATTTTTTTATATCAACATTCTGTAATCTTATATTAAATATTTTGGCTACTAAATGAACTCAAATGAAAAAACTTTTAACTACAAAGTTTTAGATGTTGTCAAGTACTATAACTTTGATATAGGATGTATCTCTATCTGAGATTGTTTGAAAAATTCAAAAAATTGAAGCTCAAAATATGTGAATTTATAACACATATTTGAAACTCTAAACGATTTTAAATAAAAACTTGTCAACAACAAACATGTAGCTCAGGTTGGCCACTACAACTATTGTATTAATTATATGAACATTCAATACCATTTAGGAATTCTAAATTTTGAATTTCAAAATCTATAAACTTAGAACAAATATTTGGACTCTAAACGACTTCAAATAAAAAACTTTTTTAACAATAAAATTATAGAATGTGTTGAGAACTATAACTTTTGTATAGACCATATGTCAACATTGAAATTGTTCGATAATTTTAAATTTCAAATTTCAAAACTTGTGAACTTACAATAATATTTTGGGACCCTAAAAAGTTTCAATTCAAAAACCTTTTAACTATAAAGTTATAGATCGCGCTGAGAGCTACAATTTGATATAAAGTCCGTCTTCATCCGAATTCATATGAAAAATTTATGAATTATTTTTTAATGCAATTATTTTTAGAGACGGACATTTTAAGACATCTACCTCCGTAAATTGACTTTAGGAGAAAGATGTTTAGAACAACCAAGGTGGTCGTCTTAAGATGCATGCCTCTAAAAATCGATTTATGGAGACGGACGTCTTAAGATGACTGCCTTCATTAACCGATGATTTTTGGAGGTGGACGTCTATAAATGATTTCTGGAGACAGGCATTTTTCTAGAACCCCACTGACTATTTACGAAGGAGGTCGTTAGGTGTGCCAGCCTCTAAAAATGATTTGGCCCTACCTCCTAAAATTATTTTTCTAGTAGTATTTTTATAAAAATATTAACTATACTGACCTACAGATCAATTTTTTTTTTAGATTCCACGGTGGACTTTATGTACCTGTAGACAATTTGACCGTCCCTGCTCCGGCCACAACATTTGCATATTTGGATGCTACCATACTTTCAAAAGGTCAAGAGGATTAGCTTCCAAGAGTATTTTATCCCACAGTAGATTCTTTAGATTCAACCTCAACTATATATGTTATGTAACACCCTAAAAATTGTTCTTTTTGAAATAGGGTTAAAAAGATTTAATTTGGTTTTTTTGTGCTCATGAAAACATAGGTAAATAATAATTTTTATTAAATTAAAATTTAACATAAGGCTTAGCAACATTTTTGTGCATTCATGCCATTGCATTTTATTTATTATGATGAGTGGTTTGATCCAAATTCAAATTTATTTAAAATGTTTTTGAAAATGGGTTTGAAAATAGAATTCAGAAAAAGAAAAGAAAATTTGAAAATAAAAGAATTTAAAAAGTTGTAAATTTTATTTTTGGAAAACTTACCAAAATTTCTCATTTTTATTTGAATTGAAAAGTGTATTTTAAACCATATTCAAATTCGATTTGGTTTACATTTGAATTTGGTTTTGAAAACAAAATAGAAAAGAGATTTGGAAAATGAAAAATCCTCCCTCCTCTCAATCTGGTCGAAGGCCAACTCACTCTCTCCTCCTTCCCTCCCTCTTCCCGTAGCCAAGCAGCGGCCTGCTCCTCTTTCACTTCGCAGCCCATTCTCCCTCAGCCCTTTCCACGCAGGCCCACTCCCTTCCCTTCTCTCCGCTGAGGCTCCGACCCACTTCACCCGTAGGCCTAGTCGGCGCTTCTGGCCCGACTCAGTGGCAGCACACCTCCTTCGCTTGGCTCGCTGACAGCCCGGCCCCGCTCTCTCACTCGCTGCCACCCTAGGCCTGCTTGTCAGCCGTCTCCCTCCTCTAGCTCGTGCTCGAGCTGGACACTGCCGCCGATGAGTCCGCCTTTGCCCCGCGTCGTTCCCTTGCCTCCCACGCATTCTCCCGGCCATAAATACCGAGCCACACCACGCGCCGCCTCCCTATCTCACTCCAGAGCCGCAACCACCTCGCTAAGAGGCCGCTTCACCGCAACCCTAGCGCCGCCGCCATTACCATCCGCCGAGCCATGTGCCGCGCCTCTTCCGTGCCTCCACCGCCGACGCTAACCTCCTTGGTGAGTTCGCCTCGTCCTCCTCTCTCTTTTCATGATTTCCCCGCATCCAATGATGCCCGGAGTTGTCAGATTGATGAACTCTGACGAGGCCTCTGCTTTTCTAACCGTGCACCGCTGCCTGGACTCGCCGTCGGCCAGTAGCCCCTTTCCTTCCTTCTCCCGATCTAATCCAGGCCATCCAAATCAGATCCGATGGCCCATATAACCCCGTACCCCTTCGACTGGAATTTATGCAAAAGAGACCTCCGGTTTCTAGAATATTCCACCCGCAGTCCCTGGCCTGAATTTAAAATCTAATTTTATTTATTTTAAATCAAAATTGAGTTATGTTTATTTACAAAATTGCCACTATCTTCATTATGTCATATCTTCTCCGTTTTAACTCTGATTTGACCCGTTCAAGTTGCGTTAGATTCGTAACGACATAATCTACGCATTAGTATTAATGTTTTCCACGTCAAGAGCTCTAGAATTTTATGGTTTAACGCCTAACTTGAATAATGATTATGCAATTAGATTTTTCTAATTAAAAGTAACTTAGGCTTTTCACCTTGATCAATTATATGATTAGTTTTACCTTATTTTTCTAAATCAAGTAATAATTTGACTTAACTCAATTAAGGTATTTCTCTAAAATATCTTATACATGTTTTATATAGCTAAAATAAATAGAGCCTAAAGTTTCTTTTCGAAGCAAATCTATCGGTAGATGTATCTTTTTGACCGTAGCTCCGATTAGAGTGCTTTTCGCGTCTGTGTGTTCGTAATAACGTGTAGAACATCTTTAAAATCTTTTCACTTGCTGTTTATTATGTTTGGTATACTATTCTAATTTAGATCTATTGTTTGCTTCGTGTATGATTGCATAGATGCTTGTGTGGTGCTTTATGATCTTGTCCAGTCGGTGAGCTTTACGTGTTGATCAAGAAGGAGTTCCTTTGAAATTTTGGACATGAAGAAGGATCAGAGTTTTAAGGCAAGTATAGCATGGGATCTTCCTTGTCCTATTCATCTTATTATCATTTTAATCATATGCATGTGTCTACCTTGATAACCATAGTAATTTTCCTAGCTATTTGATATCCTGGATTCTGTGTCACCTATGGGTTATTGCATTGGGTAGTATTATGCCAGTGCTCAAACTAAAGCCATGATCTTGTATCTTGATTAATGGTATATGCAATAAACACTAAAAGATGCTTTTTAGCAACAT